TTCTCCCGAAAACCACCAATATAATAATAATAATTTATTCTCAAATAACAAACATGTTACAAGAGACATGCCAATTTACAGGCAAGATCAAAATGTTAAGATTAGCAACATATTTTTTTTAAAAACGGTATACAGTTACTGAAACATTTCACAAGATTCATTGTTTTCTTAAAGATGGAATGTACAAAGCGAGTAATTGGCGCAAGTTACGAAGGTTGCGTTACGACAATCATCTTCTGGACTGAGAAACGATCCATGGTAGAGATGGGTTTTCATATAACAAGAATTGATGCGGTAAATGTACAAAGGTCTGGTTGATATTCATCAGCTAATGATTTCACATGTTTTTGGGTAGGGTAACCAAGTCTACTGCCCTTGACAATACAGGGTAAATTTATATAATTGTGATTAGGGATATTACTCCTAAGTCAGGTCTCATTTGGTCGAAAAATGAAAATTTCGGAAACGCCAGAAAATCATTGCCCGACATGAGACAAAGGGTAATAGAAGTGTTTGGGCCTACATCTTGCGATATTAAAAGGAGCCGTAAGCAGACAAATTGTTCTGCCCCACGGACAGAGGTAGATTGAGGTTATCGCCCCACCGTCATGAATGCCGGCGAGACATCACACCCTACCTACTTCTGCTATGTCAGGCTCTCTGATGTTTGATGGTGGATTTTCAATAATGTTTTCCAGTCTAAGCTCTATTTTTGTGCACCGTGTCAGAATTCACTTTCTATACTACCCCAATGTTACAAGCAAACCAGACAACTTTGGCTTCTCTATGTCGGACTAAATATCCACGTAGCATATCACACTGCTAGTAAGTTGACTATTTGTGTAAATTGTGATATATGTGTCAGTTAACAGGTAGTTTGGGAATAGGAAGGATAGGTAGCTGATGATTGAGCATAAAGAAAAAGTGTTACAACTAATGAGCAAGGCGATAAATAGATAAAAGAGCATGGCGTTTGGATATTGAAGAATTCGGAAAATAAAAATTTATTACACTGTAAATACATGAAAAAGAAGGGAGTGACAATAATACAGGAAGTTTGTGTTCCTTGTAATTAACAGTAATTGAAAAGTATCTACAGGCTTTTCAATTTATCTGTTTACTAGAAACGAAAATTAAATGTTTTGTGAAAGATAAGAAGATAATGATGCGGATTTAAATTTTGAGAAATCTTCGAATGTTACGGGTTGCACCTCAAAGGTATGACGTTCTACTGTTAATAGGAGTGGGGGAATTCGTCCACCGTTTCATGAGACCTGTGTGAATGGTGACGGGGTGCAATAGATTCATAGTCTGTTATTTGTTACTTGGTTTAGGCTAAATAATGAAGATGTCCGATTTTAATGGTATTTGTTATTGATAACGACGAAAAGGATGGTATTTGTAATGAATAAAGCTAACTCCCCAACGCTTCTTTGTTTTGTCAATTCTAGCTAGTGTGAAAGTTTCGTAATCAAGTTCCTTACTGTCAGCAGACTGAGTCAAATAAGTTTCTGTGATGGCGATCGAGTCTGGATTAGTTACCACCTCGACCGCCTGTTAAGTAAGTTCCGGGGTTTGTGTAGCAGACCGAAAGGCCATTTAAATGACTTCGTTCTTCGGTATCATTCTCCCTCAAGGCCTGACCACCGTAAATTTCATAATTCCAATGTCTTGTCATTATTTTAACTCTATAGAACTTCAGGAGCATTTTTATATTTAGTAGCCATTTGGCATACTCGAAGCAAATTGGAGCTCAGAGCTTGCGCTCTTCTTTACCTTTCCGGAGATGACTGAACTGTTATTATGATCAGCTTTTGGTTTCGGAGCTACTTCTGTAAATCCTGACATTTCTTTAACGATATTTGGTCGTTTCGTTTTCCTGACTTGTACCCACTCATCGGTTTTCATTGCAGTGGCAATTACAGCTGCGTCGTGCACACTCCAGACGCTCGGTGATTTACGAGGACTAGGGTAGCTACATTTCATTTGCTACTGGAAACAAAATTAGTCTTACATCAAGACCTTTTAGGCGTTCACTGGCTGCCACGACTTGGAGGACGGGGCTCGGGAGAAACGTGCATTCTTGAAGTTCCGTTCCACACTTACCTCTAAGAGATCGGCCATCTCTCCTTCAGTTTATGCAATTCAATAGGCCTTGGCTTGAATGGGATTTCTGTAGATCGATGTGTCAATAAAGAGGGCACTATTTGAACAGTCTTGATTATGCTTTATAATATGACTTTTGGTAGCGTTCATTATTGAGACAGCAAATTCTTTGCATCCGAGCAGCTTTGTTTGTCATGCCATCTCCACAATGGTGCGACCAAATACATTCCGTTTAACCGAACAGTTTGAAAGCTGCAGGTGATAGATTTGTGAAAATTTCATGATAAATAACCATTTGCGTTCATCAAAATGCATATCGCAGTCACTGAAATTCTTCTATACACGGTGAAAAACAAAATTTTTCATTTTCAAGTCTAATAGAGGAAAATACCTCTGTCAATTTTAAAGGCGCGCGGATTGCTGCCGATATCATTACAATGCTTGGGATCTTGCCGCAACAGAAGGAAGCAAATGCGAATAAATCGTTTGATTTATACTTTTTCGTCACACAGATTTTAAATATTCCTGTAACAAACTCACGGAAATCACCGAACATACGAATACATAGATAACGCTCAAATAACTACAATTAATGTAGTCGACTATCCAGACCACCATCCACTGAACATCACCAAAAAACTGGAATCTTACCGAAAGGAAAAAAATAGAGAGCGAATAAAACAGTCAGTCTATACCATTTTGCGAAAAGGATATTGGATATTGGATTGCTGTTGTTGTTTGACTGTTTGTCGTTTTTCAGTTACACGTTATCTTATAGCTAACGAATATGGAGGAATTACGGAATCAGTGTGTCTTGGAAAATCTTGATTTACTAAAAAGTCTTGCAAGTATGTAATTAACATCGAAAACATTTGAGCTTTATGAAGATGTATGTGACGATGACATGGAGAAGATCAAAAGAATGTATGGGATCAAAATGGTATGTTCAACCATTATCCAAACTAATGATAGAGTAATTAGTGTTAAAAGCCGTTTTGACCAACAGGCTTACAACTATTATCACTTAGTTAGGTTGAAGTCCACTATCTGAAGTCTCTCTTTTCTAATTGCTGTAGCAGTAGTTTCTAAAACCTACTCAGTTATTTATATACTCTCAAGTTGGAAACCAATGTGCGTGCACTTGTTTTTAAATTTTTGGCTTATAGTCTTCTAATGCACATTGCTGACATCAGTTAATCTCGATAAGAGGGTACCAAATTAGTTCCTTGATTAATCTCAAATACATTCGTTGGCTTTGTCATCTCAGTCAGTAACGGCATAAACCGGGTCAAATAGGAGATGGTTTCGAAAAAGTATGTACATCTTGAAACGTTTGTTAATGCAGGTAGACAATAGAGATCTCGAGAAGTAATAGATAAAATGAGTCCATCCAGTGTGTAGTGTTCTAGTCTTTATATAGAATCAACGGTTTATAAATTACTGATAATCCTTTAGATTAGGGACCGAATATCTTTTTTCACGAGATGGTATAAACCAATCGATTTATTGTTCTTTTAGAACGGTTTCAGGTTTTCAGCAATAGATGATAAGTACATATTAATTAGCACATGATGTTGTTAACGAAGTCACTGAAGACTCAATATAGAGGTACGTCCTAAAATCCTCAACAACTTCAGGACGGCGCGTTCAATGATCAGGTAAGAACATTGCAACGATGAATGTGCTACGGGCTGCTTTGGATTTATATCTCTCTACTTGATTGTTCAATGTGCACAATATGAGAACTTAAATTTTATGTTTACAAGCCTCATGCTGTCAAACTACGTTAGTTTATTTCCGATCAGTTCCTGTAATAACAAACAACACATCGGCAAAAATATCAGTTCACTTATTGATTAACTACTCATGTTGATTAGTTTTTCAATGAATGAGAACTAAAAAACTGCAGTTCATCCGTCTTTTAACAAAATGAGTTCTTTTAGTTTAAAAAACAGTACAGGATGCTTAGAAAGGCATTACGCACAATCTTATACATAATTGTCAAGATCTCATAATGTTCCTGGCTTGACGGAAAAATTTCGTTAATATGAATAGGCTACATCCCGAGCTGTTGACCTAGAGGTCTAATCTGCAAAGCAGTCGAGCAACGTCCGGTGGTGCAGTCTCATGGTAGCGGTTGACCAACAGTAGCGTTATGCTCCATTTTCCTTAGGATTCTGAAACCCATGTGTACCAGCAGTTTATAACCAGGGTTTTCCGATTCGCCTTGATGAACCTGAATGCTCGCATTTGTCGCCTCTATTTTGTAAACATTACCCTCGCCACGGGATGGTGGTAAGTAGGACTTCCTTGGCAGTGTTTATATACGCATGAACACATTTCGAGCGAGGTGGAGCGCGGACTCTTCCCACTCTCTTTTTACAAAGCTGCAATTGCAGATTAGGTGATCTTTTGATCGTTTAACGCATATTTCAACTGAATTACTTGTTGAAAATATTGCGATAATTGCTTAGTTACACATAAATAATCGACTGTTATTTTAAACAATTACTCAATTAATAAACATGAAAAAAAAACACTCGAATTTCAAATATCAGTTCACATTCCTTCATATATATATATATATATATATATATATATATATATATATATGCATATATATATGCATATATTTCCGTGTGTGGTTAACTGGATTGAGGTTTAATCAACTCTTACAAATTGCTTGGGTTAGTTCATACATTGTAACCTCAGTTAGTTATATGTTACATTTGAAAATTCTTACATGTACATATACACGTACAATGCATTGACATGCACATTTCTGAAAATATAACAAGTTCTTTTTTTTGTAACTCAATTTTTTTTTTTACCATGTTAACTACTTATAATCAATGCATTTTTATTATGATTTTTATTATCATTTTTATTTAAAGTTAACACCACCGGGTAAAATGTGTTATATTAGTAAACCTTGGGTTGTTCGCTTTTGGACATGGGCTGAACCAGGTCCAATAACATCGGAATTTCTCTGTGAACATGGTTATTTTCGACCAGAATTATGGAGTATGCGTAATTCACTGACTGTATCCATTCCGGAAAGTATTTGGTCTAATCTATATGAAATGTAAGTTAATATACAATTATACTTTATATATTGAACAGTTAATTATTTTTTGAAATTATGAATCGATTAATGTTAGACCACGATCATAAACCTGGAAGCATTGGACGACTGTTTCGTCCTAGATATGGGACTCGTCAGTGGCAGTGCGCATCCACGATTCCTGAACCGAGGACTGTCAGTTTTGCGTACGGACGCCTAACCTCTGTACAGATGAGCCGGCATCCAACTGCGGTAATGTATAACTTCGATCAATTCAATGCTGTCGTTAAGAAACGAGTACTAGGTAACGATGGCAGGTCAGTAGATGAAGTGGTGAAACTTCGTCAGTTGAGGTGGTTGGGGCATGTGTTACGTATGCCTAACCACTGACTGCCTCGACGATCCATGTTTCGTGGTTTAGGAATAGGTTGGACGAAAGCTAGGGGCGGCCAGACCAAAACGTGGCACAAATCCATGAAGTCACTGACAAGTGGACTGAGTCATGTTGGTAGGTGTCGACTACCTGGTTGGGGTCGGCGAGATGATAATAATCGATGGTTAGAGACCTTGAATGACATGGCTCAAAATCGTTTACAGTAGCGTGGGTGTATCCGCTCGTTGTCTTCCCTCAAATTCTAACCTTCGGAGTTTCTCACCACCTCTATCTTTCTCCTTCTCAACGTATCTCACTGAATTTTACTTCTAGAATAATATCTTCGAACCCTAATCTTTTCCATTACCGCTAATACTTCTACTATCTTTACTGCTATGGGATTTGAACTGGCAATGGCATCTCTGTGGTAATGTCGTATGGACACCTGAGCTGATGTACGTACGTACAAAGTTCTACGTTGTAACTGACTGGCTATGCATTGCTTCCTAGTTTACAAAAGTAAACGGATTGAACAAAATTACCTCTATTCGTTAACAGTACATTTATCTATGCGTGTCAGTAGATATGGTCTACTTTTGAGTTTACTGTACTAGATGAAAAGTGTTTAGGTTACACATATATATATTGAAAACAACTCACATCTTCTTTAAACGAGTAGTTCATAGCCATTCATAATAGTACATATGCATTCACTTTTAGTTTGTTCTTAGATTCCAAATCTTAAAATCTTATGATTTTTACTTTCTATGCCTAATTTTCACTACTACTGAGAAGACTGAGGCAGGCTCGATAGATTATATTTGGCAAATTTACACTCTTAGTCAATCAAAAACGAAAACATTACATTGAACATTCTATTTGCACCCCATCTTTGAGTCCTGACTTCCAACGCTCCAGCCTTCTTCAATTCCTGCTGTTGCTTCCTTTACTTCCTGTCGGTGCTCTATTTATTTCTTGCTTTTGCTCTATTTGCTTTCCGTTTTCCTCTTCTGACCGAGACTTCTTTTACGTCCCTTCTTATACTACTATATCGTTCGTATAAGTAGCACACACCACACTACTACTGTAGTAAAGGAGAACACAGGTGAGGGCAGCCGAATTGTATTTAACGAAAATTACAGAGTTACTCAGTAAAATAGGAAAACCATATCGTAAATCGTTAATTTGCAAAATATCAGTTCATCATATCGAACTGGACTGTTCCTGTTGCAAAACATCAATCCATTGTCACTCACTATTCATGCGTTTCATACAAATTCCATTGTTTCCTAACTCTTCCTTTCTTGATCTTTCCCCATCTTCTGCTGCCAGACATTACGTTGACGCTCACGTCATATACTACTTATAAGTAGCTCACACCACACTACTACTACGTTGACGGCTTCTAATACTAAAACTCTTATTTCTATTACTCTGGCATCTTTTACCTTATTCATTTCATTTTGTTATACTAAACTTAACCAAGTCATAATTTGTGCACATCAACAGTTCTAATATATATAAAACTGACTGTATACACAATGACACAAGTACTGGATTTCCTTTTTTTTAATAAAAAAAATTATATGATTACATTTAACAATTTTTTGGCTTAAAGAAAATAAATACCACTACTGCACATTTTTTATTCTTAAGGTTTGTTTAATAATTATGGCTAAATAAATCAATTGCATCTTATAATCGTCAATTATAATTGTATCGATTCAATCATAACTTGAGACAGATATCACACTATTTCTATGTACTAAATGACACAATGAAAACGAATAATAATAATAATAATAATAATAATAATTCTAGTAAATATCAATATATTGTAGTGTGCCGATAACTGCGTGTTCTTAAGCTCGGTTTATGAATCAAAAGATGAACTCGTATTGATGAATACGTTTATTCGAGGCACACCACAAAGCGAAGCGGAGAAGCGAATTGGAGAAGGCTAAGAGCCAACTCTTTGGATTACAATGCGAGCGAATGAGCGAAGCGAATTGGAGAAGGCTGTTGAGCCAACTGAAAGAGATAGAACATGACTAAGAATATATAGTCAGACAATAATAAGACAGACATATGACAAGCGTAATAGGTATGCCCGCACATGAATAAAAGCGACGAATGATTGACAAGGTCAAATGACAAGCGATACAAATCATGTGAGTTCATGGGAATATTACGAGATTAACATTAAAGCGAAAAGGATGAATATGCGCGCAAGTGTAAACAATGTTCAATCATACCAGCGCATACAAACCACACAATAATAAAAGCCAATGGTACATATAAATTATTGCTCTACAAATGGCTTTGTTAAATAAATTAATCGAAAGGGCTTAACCAAGTTAGATGTGAGAGAACTGAAATATAATGTGGAGGCACTACAATATATCGCATCGCATATTTTTTTTTGTTTTTCTTGCCTCCCAATTTCTTGCACCCTTTACACTGGGATTAAAACTTCATTTGATGTAATAAAATCTGAAAAAAAAATAAGAATGAGTTAGGATCAGAAGATGATGTTTCAATGTTTAGTGTATAGTCGTCACACAAAAATTTTTGCATAAAATCTACATCAAATACTTGTGTTATCCAACTGTTAGATTTGAATCGGTCAATCAGTTACAATGTAGAACTTCCTACGTACGTACGTACACATACATAAGTTTAGGTTGTCACATACCACATTAGCACAGAGATGCCATTGTCAATTCAATTCCCATAGCAGTAAATATAGTAGAAGTATTAGCGGTGATGGAGAAAATTAGGGTTCTAATATATTATTTAACAGGTAGAATCCAGTGAAATAAACTCAAAAAGAAAAAGATAGAGATGGTGAGGAACTCCGAAGGTTAGGATTTGAGAGAACACAAAGAATGAATGCAACTGTGCCATTGCAAACGGTTTTAAGCCATATCATTCAGGTTCTCATCTCGCGGGCACCAACCGCGGGTAATCTACACTTAGCAACATGTCTCAATCCACTTGTCAGTGACTACTTCATGGATTTGTGCCACGTTTTCGCTTGGTCCACTCTAGCTTTCTTCCAACCTAGATCTGATTAATTGACAATAAATCAGACAGTTCATTAAGATTTGAGTTTTTACCAGGAATATAACTGAAGAGATCTCGTCATTTCCAAGACAAGGATTGTAGGAAATTACACATAAAAGTGACAAGTTAAAGGAATTAAGGGGAAATCGAAACATTTAGAAAGAAAAAAACGAAAACTAGTGGGTTTACACTAGAAGGACACAAAGTTCTTCGTTGACTCAAATCCTATTTCACTTTTAAAAAAAAGTAGACGTTTCATTAAATAAACCTCAACTAGGAATTCGTTATCTAACCCTAAACCATATATTACAACATGAATCCATCTTGTTTGTTCATCAATCTGTTTAATCCTTATTAGTGAGCAATGGAATTATCACACATTATATACTTTCTTATTTCATGTATTTTTTCAAGTATAATATGATATTTCTAGTTGTCATAAAATCTCTTTCGTATGCTTATAGTATCATCTATCTCCAGATTCTATGCTTGTAATTGTATTTTACCTGTTTGTGTGTGTGTGTGTGTGCTGTTCATCAAAAATCACTTGTTCTCATTGATATGTACAAGCAATAATCGTTGTTTTGATCAGCAAAAAATCCGTCTGTGAAAGCTCTATTTGAATGGTTGGTGTCCGCCAGACGATAGTCACCAATGGTTAGAGACCTTGAATGACATGGCTCAAAACCGTTTGCAATGGCTCAGGTGCATCCACTCTTTGTGTTCTCTCTAATTCTAACCTTCTGAATTCCTCATAATCTCTATCTTTCTCCTTCTAAATTCATCTCACTGAATTATACTTTTCAAATCATATCTTCGCTCCCTACATACGAAGTTCTGCGTTGTATCTGTCTGTCTATATTTGAATAAGTTAACAGCATCAACTGATTATCGTTGATCTAGTACAGATTCTTCTTTTTCTTCAATTCAATCATTCCAAACATTCATTTACCCTATTTGATTGACATCTGATTATATAAATTATTATTTCTCTGGTTTGCACTGGTGTTGTTCTGGATTCATTGACTTTGTCGATTTAGACATGTATTTATGTTTGTCTAGTCTACCAATTACAACAATGCTTTAATTTTAGATAAAAGAGAGGAATGTGTTGAAAAAAATATCTCGCACTGAGCAAACTAAAATGTGTTATCATCTTATAGAGTGTTGATATAGACTACATCGCTATTTTTTTATTCAATGGTTGTCATTGTTCTCAAAGTATTTTATCCTAAATTGATCCATCCATCAATGTCGTTTAGTTTCCTCTCTGAATTATTTCTCGTGTATTGATTAAAATGATTGATTTCGTCTTGGCTTTTCTTTTGTTGATTTCCTTTTTCATTGTTCTGTTGTTGTTAGATTTTAACCTGTCTCTGATTAACCGTAACGAAAATTGAAATATATTGTTAGGGGGTATAGGAAGGCTTTGTTTGTGACCGATTTAGTCTCGCGTGCTGTTATGGGTATAAGGGCGGTTGTCACTTCCCGACTGCCCACACCATCAGGGAGCGTGACCGCAGAGCCCAAGTGACAACTGCTTGAGGCCGGTCATGGACACGGCCTTTTTATAGGTGGTATTTAAAGTGTTATCTCCGTTCTTGTTTAAAAGGCCTTACCGCCAGAGACGGAAATCCGTGAGGGTAGGGTGAGGTGTGATATTTTCAGGGTTGACCTTTTCCAACCCTCCTCGTTCCTTGTGAGAAGGCAGCGTCGCTTCAGATTTTGGTTGTCCTAGTGAAACACCTTACTGCTGTCACACCTCTCTACAGTCATCAGTACGACTTCGCCCACAGAATTGATATATATATATATATATATATATATATATATGCAATCCGAATAGATAATACTTTCAGTCAGTCAGTCAGCTACGACGTTGGAATTCGTACGTACCAAGTCTGAGTTGCCATTACCACATTAGAACAGAGACGCAGTTGTCTCTTCAAAGTAATATTAGCAGTAATGGCGAATATTAGGGTTGGAACATATTATTAAATAAGTATTATTCAATGAAATAGATTTTAGACGAGAAAGATAAAGCTGATGAGAAATTCAGAAGATCAGGATTTGAGAGAACAACAAAGTTTGCGATGCATCTGCACAATTGCAAACAATACTTTTTTTCAATAGAAATGAACTATTATTTGTTATATCCTAATAAGTGTGTATGTCTTGTGTGAAGTCACTCTGATCATTTTTACTGTGTTTTTTCTTCAAAATTTATAGATTCGGTGGTCATGAAATTATTCGTGAATTAATCCCGTGTGATAATTGTTCTGATGTTATTTCTAAACGACAGAAGTATGAATTATCAGAAATTATGAGGGTAAGTCTTGATTATAAACGAAACAAGATTTTACTTGATTAAATTTAATTGTTTTTTTTAATTATTATTGCTAAATACTTCGTATAATCTATTACTACTTATTACTACTGATCCAGTATTATACATTTTCCAAACTGAAATGAAAATTATTCCATCTTGATTACAATTGTTACACTCATCACTTGATAAGTTTGAAACTATGACGAGTACACCTTAGTCGATAAAGAAGAACGAGACAATGAACGAGTGTCTGGGTAGGCTACTCTGATCCGTTGATCCAAAGGAGCTAACGAAAAAGTTTTGATATAGCGTAGAAAGTGTATTTTACAAACACCCATCAAACAATAATCTCAAGCACATAAATCATAGAAACGTCCTTGGGAGAGTCACAAAAATAATACAGTAATCAATCACTGCTTAGGCTTTTCCTGGTGGGGAAGTGTGATCTCAAGTTCAACTGATAAGCCTATGAATAAAATCCAAAATAGACATTTATCGAGCGGTTCTGGGGATTTAACTATTCCAACAACAATCAATGGTACACCGTATTTTCATCATATTGTTTTAGAAGCACTTACTAGACGATTAGTATCTAATTGTAAGCAAAATAGGTACTTTTTTCATTAAACAGCTATTATTTGATATTTTCTCTCCGATTGATTCGTGTTTGTTGAGAATAGATTTCCAAGTGCATTGTGTCATAAGCTTTTTGTGGTAATCGAGTCGAGATTGACTATGATCACCACTGAATACTAATTACGAACCGGTTAATGGGAAGATAAATAAATTGATCTTAAAAAATATATCTGCTGACGATTTCATGGTATCGAAAGAATACCGAATTAGAGTCTGAAAAGATGTGCGAATTTACTGAGCTTGTAGAGCGAAGAATGGCAACAACACAAACAGAAAGTTTACGCGTACAAAAGTGTAATAGACAAAAAGTACAGTACCAGCACAATCCCTGGTACAATTGAGTTAACATAATAATGCATGTTTGTATTATTCAACCAATCGTGTTCTCTTCATAAAATTGGATTCCCTACAAGCTTATGCATTGTTGATTATTTCACATTACTATGCTTGTTAATGAATCAAGATTCATGGAATCTTTTTTTTAATACGGTATTTTTTCTAAAAATTATTTCACTTGTATCCTAAAAATAATAACATCAAACTTAGGTTTACAATGATTCCAAGTTAATTTTATGCATGAATTGTAAGTTAGTTAACTTATTGTTACACATGCACGTGACCACGTCATTTGATATGTTTGAACTATTACGAGTTCATCTTAATCGTTAAAACGAGAGCGAGGATCGAGGATCCGACGACACGACAGGCTACTCTAATCCGAACATCCCAAACCCCCATTAAATAGAAGAAGAAGACTTGATATAAAGTAGAACCTGTATTCTAAAAGCATCCAGAAAGTACGAGGTTTGAGTCCAGAAGAGAATAAGGATCCCGGACTAAAGATGCGGGTCATAAAACGTTACAGACAATTCATATTTATGCATTTAGGTCGAATAGGAACCAACATTGAAATATGTGACATTGATAGTTAAGGCGACCAATAGGAAACAACATATGAAGTATTTGACAGTGATTAGGACAACCAATAGGAATGGACCAATAGAATTAGACTTACAAAAATAGTTCTCTTAGGATATTGGCTGATTATCCTAACACTTATCATCAGTACAAATGTTTTGAATTGAGATTGTATTCACTTCTGGAATTTAGTTTAATATAATTTAAATTATATATCTAGTCTTAAATATAACTGATATTTTTCAAAGACAGATATGTCAAAATCACACGCTATTTTCACTCTCAGGATAAACGATTCCAGTTCACGAAAGGTTATTCTTGGTCTCGTGAAACCTCGTTCACTGCTACATGGTAAAGCTTTTAATATCCGGACATTGTGTATAATAGGACAACAGGCTTCTTTTAGCTAAGACTTTGGAATCCAGTGCCATCTAATGTACACTGAGTCTCCGAAACGCGCATACAGGATGAGAGTAGTGTCATACATTCAACCTCACCATGTCAAAACAAAGAACCAGCTCGATTTACTATTCGTGTATCTGGAAGCCCTGATACTGCTTTACTAGATTCTACTCCTTGAATAGTATCCTCGAACCCTATTCTCTCCAATTACTGTTAATACTTCTACTACATCTACTACTATGTGATTTGAAGTGACAATTGCATCTCTTTACTAATGTGGTATGGCAACTTGAACTGATGTGCGTACGTACGAAGTTCTACGTTGTAATTGACTGACTGACTCTCAGGATTCTTGAGCCTCTGTGCACCATTAATTTGTAATCAGGGTCATCCTATTCTCCCAAATGTTCTCTCCGGACTTACCAACCTGGTTTATGCGCTGCGTATTCACTTTTCGTTCACTCAATTTTACGAAAGCAATTAGTAGGACTGCCCCGGCATTAGCTACATAATTCGTAGTCATGTGAAAACATTTCAAGGAGAAGAGCTGGCGTCTATCCGCTCTCTGTCTTATTTAGGCAATTATTTATTATCGAGTATTCGGATTTTTTTTCTCAACATTTTTTTTTCTATCATTTTTCATCTTTGCCTGCTTGAATCTCATCTAGCCTGTCAAGCGTCATTGATATTAATCTTTGTATATATATAAATGCACAACTGTAGACAAGTGTAGTTGGAAGGTCAATTTAAAAAAAAAGGTTGAAATATAATACTAGACAGGTTTTGCACATACTCGCCAATCCATCCATTCATCCTACTATCAACAACAATCAATAAACGCATTGAAGTGAACCCATTTTCACAATTAAATCAATCAATCAAATCAATCAGTCGTCAATCAGATAATTCATAGACAATCAGGTCAAACCCAAGAGTGACAGTCAAAATAAATAAATATGCAGACACACACAACAGGTGAACGATATAAATAACAACAACGGTAACAACCAATCAGATTTAAGGTTAATAGTACTACAAGCTGTCAGTTACATATATGAAGAAATTTGATTACCTGACTTTCGAGTTAAAAGTTTATATTCAAAGTGTTGACTAAACCATTTATTTAGCACAGAGAGTGATACTTCTTTGCTGAGAGGCTTAAAGAAGTGTGAACACATTTGTGATGGAATTTCGTTCTCTGACCTGGGTATGTGTTCGTTGCGGTGTAGCTTTCATATTGTTCTCCTACTGAACAACAAACATTATCTTCAGCACAAATTTCAGATAGAACCATCTGTAGATTTATTCAAGCTTTTTTTTTAATAACAAAACTAGGAATCTATTCATATCGATTGTTGCTTACTACTACTTATATTACGTCTCATCGAAAAGTATTCGCCATAAAAAACTACGTTTATTTCGTCCGCAAGTACATCAGTTTATGTTGCCATACCACATTAGTACAGAGACGCAAATGTCAGTTCAAATCCCATAGTGGTGGAGATAGTGAAAGAATTACTGGTAATGCGGAATATTAGGGATCGAAGATATTATTTAAGAAGGATAATTCAGTGAGATAACTTTAGAAAGAGAAAGATAGAGTTGATGAGGAGTTCAGGAGGTTAGAATTTGAGAGAACACAACGGGTGGATGCACTTGCGCTATTGCAAACGATTTTGAGCCTGGTCGTCCTGTTGTCTGTGACTTCATGGATTGGTTCCATTTTTAGGTTTGGCCGCTGCTAGGTTGCTTCCACACCATAAAACATCGCTCATCGGGGCAGTCAGTGGTTAGGCATACGCGACACATGTCCCAACCACCTCAACTGATGCAGTTTCAATACTTCAACTATTGACCTTCCATCCCTACCTAGTACTTGTTTTCTAACGACAGAATTGCTTACTCGGTTGTACCAGGATCAGGATCAATGCTTCGAAGACATATATGGTTGAATACTAATAACCTACAAATATCTTCTACTCTTACTGACCATATTTCACATCCATAAAGTAGGACAGAGCGAACTACTGAGCAGCATATATACACGGGCAGTGATCCGAAGACATCTTCGGTACACCTTTTAGTGTATATAGACCATATTTTCACAATACGATAGGTCCTGGACCACAGACACACATTTAGACGTCCGGCAATAGTCGTGTTCCTGGACCTAAAAGCGGCATTCGACTCAGTGGATCGTGAGGTTCTGTGGCAGTGTCTGTCATTGAAAGGTGTATCAAATAAGTACATTAACCTCATACAAGCTCTCTACTCAAACACCACTGGTCGAGTGAGAGCTTATGGCGAACTGTCACCGGAATTCTCTACATCAAGTGGTTTCCATCAGGGATGTCTACTCTCTCCATTCTTGTTTAATTTTATCATACGCATGCTCCTAGAAATAACCTTATCCTCGTCTGAATTTTCAGGAGTAGACCTTCTACCAGGTGGCTCGCTTATTGACTTAGAATATGCCGATGACATAGTCCTGTTCGGTGAAGACGCTGACAAAATGCAGAGTCTTCTGACCACTCTAAGCAACAATGCAAGCATGTTTGTCATGCGGTTTTCGCCCTCGAAATGCAAAATGTTGCTTCAAGACTGGGTTGCATCGGCACCTGAACTAGTGATAGGGAGTGAAGTAGTCGAACGTGTAAACCGCTTCACTTATCTTGGGAGTCTCATCAGTGCCTATGGTCTGGTGACTGACGAAATCTCAGCTCGGATACAGAAGGCTCGATTGGCTTTTGCCAACCTGCGTTGACAATGCTGTTGTTAGAAGCTGGTGCTAGGTAAGAATGGCAGATCAATAGATGAAGTAATCGAACTTCATCAGTTGAGGTGGTTGGGACATGTGTTGCGTATGCCGAACCACCGACTGCTTCGAAGAGCTTTGTTTTGTAGTGTATCAGTAGGTTGGAAGAAAGTTAGGGGCGGTCAAACCAAAACATGGCAGAAATCCATGAAGTCATTGACGAGTGGACTGAGCCATGTCGGTAATTGTCGACCACCTGATTGGGGTCGGCGAGATGATAATAATCGATGGTTAGATACCCTGAATGACATGGCGCAACACCGTTTGCAATGGCGCTGGTGCATTTATTTTTTGTGTTCTCTCAAATCCTAATCTTCAAGATTCTTTAACACCTCTAGTTTTGACTTTCTAAACTTATCTCACTGAATCATACTTCTTGAATAATATCTTCTAATCCTAACCTCTCTGATTACTTCTAATTTCCTTACTACCTCTTCTACTATTGGATTTGAATTGACAATTACATCTCTGTGCTGATGTGGTATGGCGACATGAACTGATATACTTACGTACGAAGTTCTACGTTGCATCTGACTGATTGACTGACACCTTTTATTGACAGACAATACCACAAAATCTCACAGTTGACCAGGTAAATGCCGCCTTAAGTTCGGCATTAGTAATTGAATTTGATGCTTTGTTTTTTTCATTAAATTTTTCAATACAAACATATTTTTTCTATTTCTAATAATGATAATAATAATAATAATTATTATTATTTATGATAGGTTAGTTCATCGATCACTCCATCGTCTACATCTTATGCTATCAGTAAAAAATGGTTAGATATGTGGCTACAATTTGTCAAAGGACAAATATGGGGTAAGTATTTGGTACACCTTGAGGGTAATATTGTCAATATATATATATATATATATATATGCAATTTATTTTTATTTGTTGATATTTCAGAAATAATCCTATTCACATCTTTGAAATAATGAAATAACTATTTGACATGTTACTTCATTTGTTGATGTTGACTACTGACTACTGACGTTATACTTGTTATCAATAATAGGAATATTCAAATAGTACTGACAAATGAATTCAAATTCACCAGCGTTGCATTAACCAACAGTGATCTTTACGTCACAGCTCTAAGTAGGTAGATAATGCGTTCAGAATTTTAGGTCAAACCTCCTGTGTTCGAGTCCTGGTTTAACCAATAATATCGTCACTGGTTTATCCAGGAGGATATAACACACACACACACATACTTTATTCCACTGTTCACAACTATTCAAGTTTGTTTAAAATGTTGCTAGCGATTTTACATTTAGTCTCAGTTAATTGATGTATACCCTAAAGATTACTGGTTTAATTATATCACAATGTTGAACTAATCAATCTCTGTGTAAAAAGAATTCTATTCAGTAGCGTTAGTTGAAAAATAACTGATGTGCGTAAAGCCTTGGTTATGTCATTTCAAGAGATTATTCACTTCATAAACTGCACTGGTAATTGAACCAACAATGTAGCTGCTGCTACTTTACTAACGGAGCTAACTAATAAAGTAACTGCTTTCTGTGATGGCCAATAAAACTCTCATTTCTTAGTTGACATTATCGAACTTTGATGAAAAATGTGCAAATGAGCCTAATTTTTAACGCATATATATATCACTTAGTTGCTTGTGTAAACTGTCTAGTCTTAGTATGAATAATGTGTATATATGTCTGATGTAGATTAGATATTGAGTCAAGCAATGAATGTCATGCGCAGTATAAATTCGATCAAAACATTATCAATTATACTCAGATAGATTGCCAGGTTCGGGTCGTAGGTAGGTATGTTATTAACTGAATTACAGGGGTTTGTCCAAGCTTTTGTTTTTTACTTATTTCAATATTAGCGCATATGTTCATATGTTCACATATAAAGAGCTTATACTAACAATTACGATTTTTCAAAGTGTTGTTATATAAAAAATAATAGCTCAATCATTCAAACACATGTATCGTATATCATCATCATGTGTTATATTGTATTGAAACGTTGTTTACAATAGTTGATAATTCCATGCGCGCGCAAAAACACACAATAAATTTCCGAACACATGTCAACTACCTTACTTCAATAGTAGTATGGTCGTATTCCGAAAACAAACAAATTAATTTCCATCATAATTGTGACTACTTCCAAGGCTTGTGTGTGTGTGTGTGTATTCATCGGAAACATTCTAATTCTTTTTTGTTGATACTTAAGGACTGTTAAATTAACTAGTATATTAGTGTTTAATAATCGGTATTGATATCAACACCATGTCCTAGTGATTTAATCACTTATCACGTGTTTTATGAAAATACATTTTTACATTTTAATGAATGTGTAATTTGTTGTTTTTTTGTAATGACATATTCATACTACTTCTGAGTAGTCAAACCGTCTCTCTATTGCATTTCTTTCAAATGCGATGTATGAAATAGACTATTCTCGTATGTATATTTACAAATAAACATGATTATCACAAAAGATTTGTATTATCGAATTCTTCAAATTAGAAAAGTAGTCTGTTTAATTCTATCTGTCCAACAAATGAGATAATGATCTGGGAGAATGATTTTTGTTAAAGTTCTTTATTTATTCAATATATCTCACAATTACCAAATGTATTGTTAATAGTTTGCAATTTATCGTTGTTGTTTTTATGCGCAACTGATATTGATTAGTCCTTGTTGTGCCATATATGTATTCAATATGTGGCTAGCAATGAAGTCCGGGAACCACATGTTGTCTTATTGAGAACACGTCAGTTGAATGTATCTGTATTACAGTGTTTATGTTTTTCGCATCGAAGTTAAAATTCACTGTCTTCTTTCTCAAATTCTAATCTTGTGAATATCTTATGACTGTTTTTTTCTCCTACAAAGTTTGTTTCACTGGGTAAGATTGCCAATCCTAACCTTCTCCATCTCTGCTATTTCTTCTATTACCGATACCACCATGAGATTTAAACTGATCATTTCATCTCTGTGCTAATATGATACGTATGTACGAAGTTGTACGTTGTAGCTGACTCTAACTGCCTTTTACTTCAAACTTCCAAATCGGTTTTTTTTTTACTGAGCTATACATGTCATGTAGTCACTAGTTTAATCGATGTGTATAAAGATTTTCAGTGAATATTTGATATTTCTATTCAGGACGGACAGTGATCTGTCTCTGTTGTCTTATATACATCCTCAGCGGACACGAAGATCATTCAGTAATTGAACGTAAATTACTAAATAGCTTGAACCTGTTTAATTGTAATTATTATCAACCAGAATGTCTTTTAGTAATAGTTTTCAAGGTACCTAACCCGTTTTTATAAAATGAATTGTAAGTATCCGATCACATTTTCAAACTTTAGTATTAGCGATCAATTAAATTCTATCATTAGTGATATTTTGACTTATTCATCATCAGATTTTGCATATAAGTAGAGCTTTTGGTATACTAGTTTCGTTCGTTCATTATCTTACATGGAAATCTTGAGTGTAAGCCTTTTAATTCCATTGTCACATTCGTTTGTTCAAGGCATGTTGGTAGATCCAGACAGTTTGTTGAAGGTCTGCATGATTACCGCATTTACTGATTGAAAAGATTTTAAGCAATATAACTCAAAATTATTCACGACGGTACTGATACATTCGCCTTTTTTATCTTTTTCCGCTTGACCTTGAACTCGAGTTTCCTTTAATTCATACATACTTTTCTCCCATATTTCTCAATTTGTTGTTTTTCTTTCTATGATTGCTACTACATTATTTGTGTTCATAAATTCCGTCTATCTTTCTATGACTTTAGTTAATTGTCTTCTGTTGCATTACTCCCCTTGAATTTTTAATTCTGCTGTTGAACGTCTCCATCAAAAGAGTCAAATACCAATAAATTGAACCGTTCTAAAATCTGAAACCAAAACAAAAAATAATCGCATGACTATTGAGTACCATGCTAAACTTGGCGCGCTTTTCATCTTATTGGCCATATTGTTAAACGTTCAATAATTAAACATCATAGAATTCAAAAAAAAAAATTGTTTCAGCAAATATACTGTCTTGCATACGTGTTTGCCTGATGTAATATTTTTTTTGTAGTACACTTTCAAACTCATCATTTGTAGTGTAGGAATAGGTTGGACGAAAGCCAGGGGCGCCACACCAAAACATGGTACAAATCCATGAAGTCACTGACAAGTGGACTGAGTCATGTAGGCAGATGTACGCTACCTGGTTGGGGTCCGTGAGACGAGAGTCATCAATGGTTAGAGACCTTGAACGACATGGCTCAAAATCGTTTGCAATGGCGCAGGTGAATCCATTCTTTGTGTTCTCTCAAATCCCAATCTTGTGTATTCATCAACACCTCTACTTCTGTCTTTCTAAACTTATCTCACTGAATTATACTTATTGAATAATATCCTTGAACCGTAATCTTCTCCATTACCAGTAGTACTCCTACTATCTCTATTACTATGGGATTTGAATTGACAATTGCGTCTCTGTGCTAATGCGGTATGGTAACGTGAACTGATGTACATATGTACGAAGTTCTGCGTTGCAACTGACTGACTGACTGACTGAAAGCCATGTAGGCTTAACATATCAGTACATACACTACACATCTCACTA